GGCGGTTCTTTCGCCTTTCTGTACGCAGCGGGATTCGTAGACGTGTGGACCACACAAACGCGCAAAGCTTGCTGTGCCATTGCGAGCTGCTTTGCGCGTAAGGACAAGATGTCTGAGACGTTCGTGGCCGCTGCCGATCTGAGCCCTCAAACCATGGAAATTTAAAGAAGAAGCGATGACTCAGTTGCCGATGTGCTTTTTTGAATTTTCCGGAGCTTTTGAGAGCCCTTCCGGAGCTGTTCCTTCCAGTTCGAGTTCCGCTTGCTATGGATTTTGTTGCAGTCTGTACTTGACTGACCGCGTCAGTCTGCGACATGAGAAAGACATCAGCCGCAATACGCTGCTGAAGGTACTCTCACACCCAGATATTCGTCAGCCAGCTTGTTTCAGCGATGTCTGGATGCGATCCAGTACCTTTTTCCAGCCACCATTGCAAGAGTATGTTCCAGGTCAGTTTCAGTAGTCTTAGTCGTGTTTTGTTCTCGGGTTTGCTTGGCTGCCAATGACAGCGCCTTCCCGTCACACGCCTCGGCCTTCCTGGTGAGTTTGAGTAGCATTAGCCGTGTTGATTTCTCGGGTTTGCTCGGCTGCCAACGACAGCTCGAGTGTATGCCCTTCCCTCACACGCCTGGCCTCAGCGCGGGTTCACAAGACAAGTGCTGGGGTATGCTGGGGTGGTTTGCTTGCTGAGCCCTCTATCACATATGTCGCTGTGGTATTGAAGAAAGATGGTGTGCACCATGGGCTAGCATGGTTGCTACGCCCAGCTTTGAGTGGTGACGGGTTTTTGCGAGCGTTTTTGTTACTGCTGCTGCCGCCGTTGCTGCCGCTGTAGTTATTGTTGTTGCTGCTGCGGTTGTACAGTAGGAGTTGCCGTTGCTGCCGTTTCCGATGCCGCCTGAACTGACGCGTGGGTTCAAAGGAGATTGACAGAGATTCACATACCAACAACCCCTTCGGCTGGATTGTGTGAGAGCGGAGATCGCCACAGGCCAGGCGCGACAAGGCCTTAGAGCATTGCGAGTGTAGCGACTAGGCCTTTCTCAGGACACTGCATGTTTATGGTCGATCCGACGCCATGGCCTGAGCCATGATTGGGGTGCGGCAGAGCCAGGCGCAGCCATCGCCGAGTCGGCCGCAAGCCGGCAAATGTCGATCCCAGCCCCGGCATGCCCCGGCCCCGCACGGATTTAAGTCGCTTCTGGGTGCCGCTGTTTTCGGCATCTCCGGTGCCCGCAGTGTCCGATGCCGAAGGCAGCTGCGACAATGGAGAGTCATGCAGGTCTTGCCTGCAGGACTATCGCAGCTCCAAGACCACGCCGATCACTCGTGGATTAGGGAGCTGTCTCCGGATCCCGAGCAGGAGCTGCACGAGCCCAACCGTGAGAAGCGCCTGGTCTCTGCAGGCAGATGTAACGAAAAAGACACATGTTAAGAGCAGGTCCGGCGAAGCAGACAGCATCCGCCATGTTCACGCCGAGTTCACGGTGTTATGCAGTCCAACTAAAAAATGTTCTTGCGCATCCCGAGATGCAGTGTTTCCCCTTGGTGTTGAGGCCACTATGTCCGGGTCAAGCCGACGCCCTTGTTGAATTCATGCCTCGTTGCCTGCAGTTCGGACATGGCAGATCAGCTTGGCCTCTCAGAGGCGGATTGCCAATCGGAGGATTTTCTGCAATACGTGTCCGGGCACATGGAGAGCATGCCGAAAATGAGAAGCTGGTGCACCCCCTACACCCTGTCCGTGGCTGGAAACGAAATAACGACCGGCAACATGTATGGAGATGGTCGGGCGATCTCTGTCGGAGAAGTGAGTTTGGGAAATGGGAAGCGCTGGGAGCTGCAGCTCAAAGGAGCCGGCACGACACCTTTTTGCCGCGGTGCAGATGGCAGAGCTGTCATACGATCCAGCTTGAGAGAGTTCCTCGCATCCGAGGCTATGCATCACCTCAGGGTCCCAACAACACGCAGTCTGTCTCTGGTCGTGTCCCGGTCGGAGAGTGCTCTGCGGGAGTGGCTGGGTGAGCGTGTTTACGAGCCCTGTGCAATTACCTGCCGGGTTGCCAGATCTTTTTTGCGAGTTGGCCACTTGGAGCTTTTCGGGCGTCGTGCCAGGGACAGTGGCTATAAGCCCGAGTCTCTCGAGCGACGGGAGCTTGAGCAGGTCGTCCGACATCTCATTGCCCGGGAATACCCTGAGTGCTTTGAGCCGGGTGACACCAACCTGCAAGCGCCTCTGAGGAGAATGCTGTTGCCGATGGCGCGTCGCATGGCACGATTAACTGCAGAATGGTGGCGTGTCGGATTCTGCCAAGGGAATTTCCAATCTGACAATTGCTTGCTTGGGGGAAGGACAATGGACTATGGCCCGTTTGGCTTCATGGAGAAATACAATCCACACTGGTGCAGCTGGACAGACGGTATTGACAAGTTCAGCTTTCGCGACCAACCCAAGGCATCGTATCAAAATTTTACTTGTGCCATCCGATCGATTGAGTGTCTTCTTGATACAGACGGTCGCAAAGAGGCGCAGTCGGTCTTACGGGCATTTCCGTCGCTCTTGGCTGATGCCTTCGCAGAGGTTCGAATGCAAAAGCTGGGATTGTCTTTCTGGGACGACAGAGGAGCTGAGCTGTGCGATGACCTCCTCTCTCTCATGGAGCAGTCAGGCGCCGACTGGACCCTCACCTGGCGCTGCCTTGCCACTGTAGCGCAAGATTGGGACGAGCTGATGGAAAGTGGCAGTCTCTTGGCACCCCTGCGACGGTGCTTCTACCAAAGCCTGAATCCAGACCTGGAGAGAGCATGGTCCCAGTGGCTTTGGGAGTGGCTTACCCGCTTGCGGGAAGAAGGAGATGATGCAGACGAAGTCGCAGACCGCATGAGGCAAGTCTCACCCAAGTATGTGCCTCGCAACTGGATGCTGATGGATGCATATCAGTCAGCTGAGAGTGGAAGCTTTCAGCTTGCACAAGAGCTGTTGCAGTTGTTTTCCAGCCCGTATGACGAACACCCTGAGTTCGAGAGCCGATATTTTCGCCTGGCACCTCCGGAGGTCAGAACGCGGCCCGGGATCTACGTCATGAGCTGATCCTCATAGGTGCTTGAGCACTAGCAGAACGCAGGCAGGAAAGTGAAGCCTACTGCTTCTTGCGTAAAGCCTTGCTTGAAGCAAGAGAAGCATGGTTGATGTCTGCCTTGGCAGCGTTTTGCACTTTGCCTCACGCCTGCTGCGAAAGACCTGATCGTTCAGAATAGTTCACCGGTGTTTATCATGATCTTGGCTGAAAGCCGGAAACTATCCCGTCTGCGCTCACGGCCTATGATGATCTTTTTGCCGAAGTGCCCTTGGGTTCAAGTGGTAAGTATCTCAAAGAATCATTCCCGGGCGTTTCTGCTGCTGGGTCACTTGGCCGCGCTGCCCCGGCACAGACACGCAAGAGATGCAAGACATGTCTGCAAGGACTACGCTTTACGTCTTCATCCTACTGCCCGTGACTTGGGTCCGAATCCTAGTCTGGGAATCGGTAAACTCGTTGTGAGCTTTCATGTCATGCGTCAGCGTACCGAGATATTCGAGACTCGAGAACTATGCAGAGCCTCAGCCGTTTCCTTGGGACCGATTCTCAGTTGCTTGCGTCGAGTACTGCAAGTATTCCTTCTTCAGAAAGATGGGCAGCATCTTGGGCGCACCAGGTTGTGCTTGCTACTTGCCTTGGCAGAGGCACCTGCTGATTCTCGCGCAGAGATTAGAACAGTACGATTCAGGCACTTATTAGCAGTTCATAGAATGCAGTGAAAATTGGGGAAGACGTAGGCAGTATCATTAATGAGGCTGTCGGCCCGAGCTCACAGCAATGCCGCGGCGACTGTGACGGACTTAGTGGGCTTGGATGTTCTCACGATGTCGCTATGTCTCTCTTTAGCTGCCAAACAAGGCCCAGAAGACCGTGCGCAGCGGCAGCTAGCTGCAACTGTAAGACTGCCTTTTGGCGCTGATTACAAAGTAGCACGGGACTCTGCAACCACTTGAGGCCAGCGCGGCCGGCAGGAACAAAGAAGGTCAAAGGAGCAAAACAGCCCCGCGCTCAGTCGCGATTTCTCCGCCGAACGAGCACCGCATACCAGCCGTACCACCACCCTTCACGCAGGCACAGCCTGCTCCAGTTGAAGACCAGCTTGTCCAAGGCCAGGCTTGTTGCCGGAAGGATCATCCCGGCTGATGCATCGTTTGCCAATGCTTGCCAAACACCTGCACGTGTGGTCACAGACGACGTGAGTCGCGAGAGGACGAGATGGAAAATTGCATGGATGAGTATGCATTTGGTTGCCTGCCTGGGCTGGGCAATCATTCTGTTAAAGCAGGCTTCAACGTGTTTTTCAGGTCATGACGAGAGATACTGTGCCCAGGCGTGCTTATGAAGGGCAATAGGAAATGCAGGCGGGCACCTTCGAGCTCAAAGCACGGAACAACGCGCGCCGTTCATCTGTTCGGCTTCCCAATAGGCACATGCGTTTTGACGCCCTGACAAAAGCAGATAGAGGGTCGAGACACTCTTCCCAAGTCTTTTGGATGCGTCCTTCTCGTGATGGTGTCCTGGGGGAACGTCGGTTTTGGCTGGAATGTGGTTTGATGCAGGCAAACTTTGTGGTTGTGAGTTCATGCTGAACTGGAGATGTTCCGTTTACTGTGAGAGCAGCTACTGTGCGAACATGATCTCGGGCTGTGAGGATGGCTAAATCGGAAATTCAGCTACTGGTTCACTCGTCGGAAGCCGAGTTCTACACAACACAAGACGTAGCAAAGTAGAGGGATCAGATGGCACCTTTCCTGGAGCACTCCTGCTCTGTTAGTGGTAATTTGATGCATTCGGCGGCCGAAAACGTAGATGGTGGACTGGGGATTGAGACAAATGTTTTGCTGTCTATCGGCGGAGCTCATCCCAGGTGCTCCATCAACTGTGGATGTTTGGATTGGCTTGTAAATTGAGGCTTGGGTCCAGAGCTCGATTGTGTCACCTTCATCTGTGACCACGTGACGAAGCACCAACTAACTAGTCCGAAGACCTTGCTCAAAACCTTACCGCCTAAAAGCAGAGTCCCGGCCTCGCAAAAAGACCACCTCGTGATGTGATCATGATGGTGATGATGGGCTTAGTTTAACGGCCAGCGGGAGAGCCGTCTCGGGGAGGCCCCGGTGTTCAAAATCTGGGAAATTTATCTGGGATATGTTCAGCTGCAGTAGGATTTCGGAGTGCTAGCTGCTAGCGCCTCGTTGATGTTCCAGCTAGCCAGCATGGCCATAGCAAACAAGCCGCAACGCTGGGAGAGGTTAGGCTGCAGTGGATTTCCAGTTGCTGGCACTTGCTTCGATGTCTCCTTTGACCTTCGGGGTCTGGGGGAAGGGAGTACCGGGTTTCGGGTATGAGCCCTTACTACGTGGTCCTCTGGAACCCACGCCGCCCCCGACCTTCGGCCTCCGCGGATTTTGGTGATGAAGAGTATCATGTCATGAGGAGGATGATGGTCTTCATGGTGGTCCTGATGATGATGAAGGAGCTGGTGATGATGATGATGATGATCGATCTACGAAGGCCAAACGCTACGGTACTTGCGCTAGTTGGCCATGTGCGCACATGCTCGAAGCCTTGATGACGGCCATGGTCGCAGTGCTTCCGATATGGAGACCACGGATGCCCGAACGAATGATGTCCATGTTCGTTATCCGATGTATTGGGCACACGTGCTCGAACCCTTGAGGGGAGGCTGTTGCTTTTCCTCAGAAACCGATGATCTGGTAAAGGCCGTGCCTGGTTTTGCTTCCGAAGCTCCTCCGATGCTTTATGCCCCTTCCGTCTGGGGGGTGCGGATTTGGCCTGCGCTAGGTAGCTAGCTCCAAGTTGGTCAAGAGTCTGCAGCGAACAAAAGCACGGTAACCGAGAGCTGAAGCATGAGAGTGGCAAGGGGAGTCCGGAAGGTGGTGCTTCCTCCAGAGGATGACGAGTTGGACCTGAGCACCTGAGGGCAAACAGGCAGACCTCCAATGCCGAAGCGCATCACCGTGTTCCAAAACAGTTACCGGCAACAGGTGTGGTGCAGGTGATTGCAGTCTGACAGGGAGACGGTCCAGCTGCAACCATTCCGCTTGGATCATGCGCAGCCGGGTGGCTTTGTCAAGATAGGGACTGCTTCGGCTGCCTGCACTCGAAGCCAGATTCGACATGTGGCCTTGCAGGGCTGAGTGCACATTGTTGATGCCTCCCGGCATGAGTTAGAGGATGTGCTGGAACTGCACCATGCGAGTTAGGCTGGCGTGCTGACTCTGCTATCTTGACGGGGCTTCCGAGGAGCTTTCTGGATTTGCAGTCAGTGTTGCAGCTTTGGTCGGCAGTTCGCCGAGCTCGAGCGGGCCATGACCTTCTGTTGAACTGCGCTTTGCAAGCGACGGGGACTCTTGTGCCAACACCTAGACAGGAGTTGTATACCTGGCTCTAGTTGTAGGTCGTCTGATGCGTCCCTCACTGCCTTCTCGCCGGATCCTCAACAGCTCAGGGAGCAGAGATGGCGACGCATCAGGATGTGGAAGTTGTGGCTCTCAGGCGGGTGCCACGTGTCTTCATTCTGACATCCCGGCAGTGCCGCAGCTGTCCTCGCGAGGCAGAGCGGACATTGACATCGCCACCGCGCGCGAATTGATCCATCAGATCGACGACTTGATGCGCCCGTGCCGCTGTATTTCCAGGGCCTTAGCGCAGGACGCGCAGCTGGCCGTCAGCCAGCGGCTCGTCCAAGGATATCCGAACGGGTGCAAAGGGCTTGGCCCAGCCTGTTGGCTGTACCACTTGGTGACTTTGTATAGAGGCTTCCTTCGGTTTGTTTTTCGGTTTAGGTTCCCATGCTTGAACTTTTCTGAGGCTCGTATCGGCTAGACTGCGGTGGGTTCTTCGGATGCTACTGCTGCAGAACCAGGCATTCGATGCAGAATTGTCTATGGCGGGAATCTTCGAGGTGACTTCCATAGCTCGTGGATCAATTCTGGAGGCAGTGACTTTGGGGAGGCTTCTGCTCCTGCCAGTACTTCTGACAGACGAGGGGGCTGGTCCTGAAATTCCGAACCTCAGCTTGTGGAAGTCTTTCCTCCACCAGTGTCATGGCCTGTGGCTGGACGCGTCACGCTGTCCTTGGACTTGCATTGATTTCTTTGGACATGGAGATGCAGTGCAGCTGAATTTGGAGGTGAGCCGTGGTGAGCTAGCTGCACTGTGCGATTTCCCGTCGCGGCTCTGGAGAGATGCCTTCGAAGCCGGCTTTGGCAGCCTTGGGAACGCTGGGAGGGCGACGATCTCGTTGTGGATCTCGGCAGTAGACGTCAGTGCCCACATCTGTCTGCCAGAGACGGATGGACACAGTGGACACAATCTACGTCTCAATTGTATCGTTCTTGGCTCCGATCTGGAGAAGATGAGTTTCTTTAGTGGTCAGAAAGGCCGCATTGAGATTAATTCAACAACTGCATCTGCCGCCAAAGTGATTATGGTAAAGGACCTGGGGACTGATGCTTAACTTGACTCAGCTTGTTTTTGAGATACTATGTCGTTACTATGCGCTTGTTGGACCTGGCCCTCCTGCCCACTTCGACGTGCATCGTCCTCCTCAAGTTCAACATCAATTGTACTGCTCCTCGCGTGGGTGCATCTCCTTGGTTCCGGTAGATCGTGTGTTCATCGCCCAAAACTGTACGCACGTCGTTGCTCTACAAAGCTCTGGAGAGATATGAGACGTTGTGACGGCAAACTTATCTTCAGCATTCTTCTCTACTCGTAGTTGCCGAGATCTACGTGTAGACGGTGACCATAGGTCAAACCCTCAACAAGGCCGACAAAACTGTAGGAACGAGGTTGGTCCGAGCCTTTCCCCTCCAGTCTGCTTTTACTGTCATGCGCAGATCTGTACCCCGCAAAGACTGTTTCAGCCTGGCCTCGACACGCTCATAGGCGGCATGGCACGGCAGCCAATCTGCCAGCTTGCCTTTTTCGTTTCATTGCACCGACACCCCTCGCAAAGCTTACGATTTTCGACACAAAAGGAATGTCTTACAATCGCCACCAGTGGATACCGGGAGAATCCCGCTAAATGCCGACCTCTGGTTTAGAACCTGCCGGTCCCTTACCGCCTCACGAGGCATTACATCAGGCCACTCCGAAAGCTAAATAGAAGGAACTGTGCAGCGGGGCCGCTGTCATTGATCCCTGCGGGTCATTGACTAATCGTTGTCGCGGGTTGCTTACCCAGGAGGATCCCAGGAGCAGGCCAAGACAACTCCTCAATCTTTAACCTGGGGCTTGCCGCCAAACATGCAAGTGCTGAAAAGAGAACCTCTGCACCACAAAATCGACGAAGGGGTGTCCAAATATGTTGCCAATCGAGGGCCTGCCAGATGCGCGCCCTGCAGCTGCAGGGATGGGACATATGGCTGGACAGGGATGTGAAATTTTTAATGCCGACGTAGGCTTCCCAGCCATCACAACACTTGCCATTCCCAGTTCATTGAAAGATGCGAAGTAATCCAAAAACACCCGGGCAGAACAGGACGCCTCCCCGCCACCCGCCAGCATCCTCAAATCAAGCCGTGTGTCAGGAAGAACTACAGTTACGATCAGTCAGTCGACCCATCTCAGGAAAGCTTCGAGCGTCTCGCCGTGGCCGCATGCGAATCGTTGGTGCGGGTTGCTTGATCCCATGTGAAAGACGACCTCATTGATCACGTGCTGCGAGTGCGACAAAGTCCGTGAACTGCGGTGGGGCTTGTAGCTTTGTGTCCGGGTAGCTTCAACAGCAGAAGCCGCAGCCGAGAATGGAAAGTTCATATTTAATGCGAATGTGCTCAGCCGATCTCAGCCCCAGTTTTCATTGGGTGAGAAGTTGATAAAGCTGTCATAGCATGATGCCTCGGCTCCACAAGCAACAGCTTCAGAACGCACCATCAGACAACTAGGTACGCACACTTCTGGGTGGTTGAGAAGAGACATTTGCCATGAGAGCTTAGTGACGGAGGAAGTCGATTCATCTTCCAACGAGCTCGCCAGCGAGGCGTCGCCATGGAAGGATACTCAGGTAATCCGCCGGCTGACCCATCAGCCATGGCCTCAGTCGGAATGCAAGGATGTACTGGCACGGGGATCAGGAGTTTCTTCCCTGAGCCCTGTCGGCTCAAGTTCTACAGTACTAGTCTATACTCCATGCCTCTTCTTGGGCTTCTTTTCACATGCTTTTGGTGCTGGCCGTGGCCAGGCTCGCTGTCTGCAGTTGAGGCAGCCGGCAGTGCAAAAAGTGTTGAATTCTGCTGGCGATATGGAGACTGCACATCAGAAGGCGTAGATGCAAATTTACAGCTGTTGCAGCTGGATCTAGCGATGCCTTCTGGCGGTTCAGACATCGCTTCCTTTTTGTGGTTGACCGACGCGCACGTCGATCCATATTATACGAGCACTGACCGCCAGTGCGTCAAGAAACAGACGTCTCAACTTGAGCATTATCCCTTCGGTGTGATAGGCTGTGATCCGCCGCCAGCCTTGCTCCATTCTGTTTTCGAAGGAGCCGCTGGTTGGCTTAGAACTCAGGCAGACACAAGTTTCGTATTGTTTACTGGCGATTTTGTCAGACATGGCTTGTCGAAGATGCAAGGCCCTGGGGCCAATGCAACCGACATCGTGAGGAATGTATCGGCTCTGGCCAAGACGTATTTTCCAGACCTACCCATGGTCTTCGGAACCCTTGGCAACGACGACAGCTCCTGCGATTATTGCCAAAACATAACAACATCGAGCGCCGTTAACAAGTGGTTCTGGAATATCGGCAAAGCCATTAGTGACGCCGGTTGCATGACTAACGCGACACTTCAAACATACAAGTACGGTGGCTTCTTTGACACAACCGTCGGTGACCTGACAATCTTGAGTATTTCCACGGTCATATATTCAATATATCACATCCCAGCCAGTCAAGTAGAAGATGATCCTTTCGGCCAGCTTGCTTGGCTGAGAGAGAAATTGACACAGGCCGTCCAGCGAGGACGGCGGGTCTGGATCATCGGACATATTCCGCCAGGCATTGAGACGTTTGGCTTCACTGAATTGTGGTGGCCTGTCTACTTGACAAAATACCTCGACATAGTTCAAGATTCTGTGCTTGGGGTGGCCATCGCTGCTCAAGTTTTTGGACATGTTCACAAGGATGAGCTTCGAATTCTGCCAAACCCTCCACCGGGGGCGGGGCCGATCATCCTGTCATCTTCAATAAGCCCCGTTTACTACAACAACCCGTCCTTTAAGATAGTGAGATATAATCGCAGCTCCGGCCAGCTCGTAAACTACAAGCTGATCTACGCCGAAATGACTGCTGAAGGGGAGCCCTTGCAGTGGAAGTTCGGTTACGACTTGCTGCAGACCTACCCTGAGTTGCAGAAATTGGGCACGGGCATGGATGCTCTGACGAACCTGACAGAGGCCTTAGCGACAGGGCAGGACGCCTGGAAGCAGTATGCGAAATGGTATGCAACAAATTATCCGAGCGATCTCCAGCACTACGGTGCGATGGCAGCAGATTCAAGAGCCGATGCAATGTGGAAGTCACAACGCCGCCAGCAATACCTGTGTGCAATGATCATACAGACAGCCGCAGAATTTCGGGACTGTCTGGGTGTATCCCAGGAAGTTCCTCCACCACCCGCTTCGAGGGATGAGGTCGAGCGGCTTATGCTGGGCAAGCTGGTCGGCTGGGCGTCTCTATCCAACCTCGCGTCTGCCAGGGTTGTGATGGAGCTTGCTGCGAGGAACGACTGGGAGAAACTGCTCTCTCTGTTCGGTGAGCTGGTTGAGTCGAGCCTTCGCACTGGCCTGCCACTCGAGTCTATCCTTGCTGACACGCCCCTAATTTCAAGGGCATCGTACTAGCCTTGAAAACAGCGTCTTGGTGCGCAACAGTTTGATGTCCTTCGAGCGTGGCTTTGTTATGCTGTGTTGTGTGCTTTGTCTTTGTGGAGGCCAGGCCAGCGGCTCGGCCTGCGACCTCCGAGTCGGACAGCGAGGAGAGCGATGGCGGAGAGGTGCCGACATGTGCCGACCTGTCCCCTTTCACTCGAAAGTGTCCCGCCGGAAGTCCTTTCTGCATGCATGAACCCCCCCTACAGGATTTCTTTCGTGATGCCATCGGTGTCGAGGCGCCCATTGTGCTGCCCAATGCATCTGCATTTGCCTTCTGGACGTGTCTCCATCGCCGTCAGGATCCGATGTTGGATGACGACGATTCGGATCAAGGATGTCCTTTGCTGCTTCTTCGGTGGAGTCTGGACCCGTCCCTGGCTCCAGGCCTTTCGCTGCAAGAGGTTGTGCAGGGCTTCATGAATATCAACCACAGTCATGCGCTGGTGCCTCAGAGTACCATAGCCGCACTTTCTGCCATCATTCTTACCGTGCCAGAGGAACATGGGAACCTACCAGGAGGACACCCGAGACATCAGGCTCTTCGGTTTCGTTGAAGCTAGAAATGCGTTCATGCAACATGTGACGAGGCACCTCCTCCCATGGGTGGACATGGTATGCCTCCCGGAACATTCAACGAAGTTACACGGCATGTGAACTTTGCTCCGCCGCCTTCGCCAATTTCGCTGCAAGGTTTGTGCCCCGCAAGTCACGGCTCAGCAGAAAAAGCCAGGATCTCAAGATGCAGCGTGTTGCCTTTCCCCGTCCAAAGTTGCTGATGCCTATGCCAGAGAAGCTGTGGAGACTTTCTTGTCGCTCTCTGCAGGCGGTACCTCGAGGAGCTGAGTTTTGCGCTCCGGCCACAAGAGCTGACTCCACAGGCACGAACAAACGATGAACAAGCTTTCCACGCCTTCTGTTTTTTCGTACAGGCGCGTGAGATGTTCGTTCGTCAAGCTTTACATCGCGGCGTGGCGTGCCACCCAGACAGGGCTTGCATGCAACTGACAGTAGCAAATTTGCAAAGTTGCAAAGCCCGCAGAATAACCCGACCTGCTGCTTGGCTCTGGCACCCTTCCTTTGTGAGGTTCCCGAGGCTGTAAGGCTCATCGAGCCAGATGCTTGGATGCTTGGCGTCTTGCCACCACCTGAAGCTGATCGGCCCTTGCAGGAGTGCCTCACCCACCGTTGCCGCAGCTGCCACCAACTTCCTGGGCGACTTTGCCCGGCCCCCGATAGAGGGCGCGAGGCGGCTGTGTCGCACCAATCCCTACTCGTAGGCAGCACGTAACGTGAGGCTTTCAATTCCGACATGGGATCCAAGGAAGTTCTCAAGGCCACGCGCCAAGCCCTCCAAAGAGCGCTAATGAGAGCAGGTGTCCAAAGCACGTGTTCTGCATGCACGCTGGCCAATCCTGCCTCATCCGGCCCTATCAGCAGTCTGGATGCCGCAAGGTGGTTCGAGGTTGGTTGGAGCGGGAGGCAAAAAATGAAAGGATAGCTGACGGTGGAGTTGAGTTGAGCCTGGCGCCGGCCATGTTACGTTCGGTTTGGCAGTCCACGAGTCCAGGGTTGCAGGGGCAGGCACAGCTATAGGGTCCTGTTACAAAAAAATGTCCACGAGTCCAGGCCTCTTTCACTTTCCTTCTGGCAAAAGTCCTGTCCGGACGAAAAATAAAGTCACAGGTGAATCACGCCTCCCCATGCCTCCCAGACTGGCCGTAACTAGCGGCTCGTGGCTTCGACGACAGAAAAAGTAGCCAGTTCCAAAAGTTAACATCAGCGGCCTAAATGCTGGCATCTGGCATCCATCTTAACGCAAAGTCCACCAACTTTTGGCGAAAGCCTTATCGGGACGGTGCCGTCCCCCCCGAATGTGTGAGCAACACAGAAGCTAGGGCTTAGGGTTTAGGGTGCAAGTGCCTCTCATCAGGTGTTTGACCGGATTGCTGATCGCTTTCAGCATCTTTTCTCGTCTTCCTCGGACAGGGCGGGGCCCAGACGTGAGCAGTCGGATGTAGTTGGGCAGTACCGTTTAAGCGAGTTCAGTCAGAAGTTGGCAGGCGCTCATGCTGCACGACGATTGGCTCTTACAGGTGTGGCGTCCACGAATACCGAGTCAAGGTCAGACTGACACTCGTGCTAAGGCAGCCATTCTTTTGTGCGTCAACATTGCCGCGACCTGTCCTACCCCAAGACCCATATTCCGCACATGACGCAAGAGCTGGCGCGTGTTGTGCAGTGCTGTAGGTCCGGCCGGACACATGAAGCTAGTTAGGCTTGCAGCAGGCTCAGTTTCTGGAAGTAGTAGCCACAGAGATGTTGCAAGCACTTCTGGTAACCCAGAAGGTGATTGCTTGCTCCCCACCGCTCATGTTGCCTGTGAGAAGGTTCTGACCAAAGTAGTTGTCAGGTGCAGCCTGTTTGCTTGAAGATTCTGCAGAGCAAACAGGCCCCGCAATCAGGAGCACCCCAAGTATTGCATGCCTTTGTTGAAGCGGCTGTGAAGCCAGGTAGGCGACAAGCTTCGTGGGAACACGATTCTGCTGCTAGCCACGTCCTCACCACCGATGCTTATCGGTGTGCCGTGCATGACTGCAGTGGGATCGAACGCCTTTCCACATCGCTTCCTGTTGTGGCGACGGAGCAACCGGCATCCTGTTCCGCCTTGCTACGCAGCTCTCAGGCCAACCTGTCCATGACTGTCTTGAGCGAGCTGCGTGAGCTTCATGTGGACTCGGACTTGGACCGGTAAACAGACAGGGATGTCGGACGCGGCCCGGCGCTCCTCCCAATTGCGTGAGGCAAATGTTCTTCTGCAGTTGGTGTCGGATGGCAACGTCAGTAACCATGGGAAGAGCGTGGCAGAGCGGTGGTCCCAGTAACGACGATTGCCCGGGCAAAGGCAGAGTTGCATCTGTAAGGTCGGTGATCATATTTCTGCACGGCGAGAAGCAGTGTCGCCAGGTAATTGCACGATGTCCCAACATGCTTCTTTTGCCAGGTGTTCGCTCACGATGCACTTTTCGCAGCGTGCGCTGACTTCACAGGTTGATATACTGATGGAGCGGGATGTTGTCAGCAGCTACTGTGTTCCGATCATGGTGCCTGACCCAGCTCTTCCTGGAAACGGTGCCAGCGCTACCTTCGGGCCGGATGCAACATAATCAGAGCTGCACGTCTCAGGAACACACCTTGAAGGGCACAGAGTTTCGCTTGAGACTTGGTTCCTGGCAGTTGATGCTGGACAGCCCATGCAAAGTCGGCGCAGATTCCACCCTTTCTTGCCTGTGTTTACCCGTGAAAGGTGGCATGTTTCCACACCTCTTGTACAGCGCTAAGCTCTTCCAGGTTCTGTCCAGGCGCACAAGGGTTTAAGTCAACTTGCTAGAGCTTGTGGCTTATTCAGCTGGTTAAGAGCCTGAGATGTTAAGCCTTTGACCAAATGGCAACTCTGAAGCGGCCGGCGACCACGCGGCTATCTGCCATCTTCCGCTCGCGGCACATGCGCATCTCCAGATTGCACCCTTCCGCAAGGTGTCGCCTCTATGCAGAGAAGCTCGTGGAAGACACTCGTGCCGCTTGGCGGGAGTCGTCTGATCCAACGACTGCATAGACAGGAACTCTGGTGACCACGGTGGCAGCTTGTCGAATCATTCCAGCAAAACCGAGGGGTTGACGTTTCGCTCCGAAACTTAACTTCCGAGAACGTAGGAGGTCGGACATGTAGCAAGATTGGCAAGATTGACGGAGGATCGAACTCCTCCCAGGCACAGAAGGTGCAACCCTGGAAGGTTTGCACGAAGCTGATGGGGAGAAGCTGATATGTCATGGGACCATGGGACAGTTTAGGGATCAGTATCTGCGAAGTCCAGCGAAAGATCTAGGAGAACCCAGCCCTCAATGCTTTCTCAAGAAGGCTAGCTCTAGCTTCGGAAAGTTGAATGCTACACCCAGAAATCCCCCAAATTGCTGCGCTCATGGTTTTAAGGTTGAGGGTGCGCCCAAACATAAAACCCTTGACCTTGACATGAAGCCCTTGGAAGAATAGCACAAAAACGGCGGGTGCTAAATCTGCCTGAAGTTTCTGATGTCCCGTCGTTTGTGCTGGAACGCATTGCTGCAGATTCGAGGCAATTCCGCTGCTGCTCAAGGCTGTCAATCCACGAGCACCGCCCCCAAGAGCCAAGGCCTTAGCCGGCGCAGTTTCGGACAGTTGACCGTCCTTTACATGATGATCATGTCATAAGGTAGAAACTGACTACGAAGGCCGCCGCTTGGTGTTGCAGGCCCATGGGTGGGACTGCAGGCAGGATGTCTTGTGTTGCACTTTGCCTACAGGCCCTCTGGTCACTTGCGAAGTATCGTTTGTGGCCGTCTCCAGACGATGTGGCCCGTGGCTTACGAGCAGCAGGGATGAGGCACTCTTCAATGCGGCTCACCTTGTGTAGCCTCAGTTGCAGGATAGTCAGAAATTTCTGGACAAGGCGTGCTTGAAAAGTGAAGCTGATCCTTAACTTACCGATCTAAATACACAAGCCGTCAGCCGAACAATCCGCAGGGCCTGCCGATGCTCTGCGAAGACCGGCACGTGGGGATTCGAACTGCCGCGGCAGGCGCACGGATAAGTGGACCGGAGAAGAAAGGGACACCCAGCAAAAGTTGTGATGCAGGGATCTTCGCGCAAATTTTCTATCCGAGCGTGATCAGATTACTCGCTGCTGCAGCCTCGGGTTACAACCGCACCATACTTCCTGATATCAGAAACCCTGGTCGCTGAGGTCGGAAGGAGGCTGGAGATTTCTGGCCTACTTCCGCCCGGGTTGGTGGCTTAGGTCAGGTGGGTGGGCGGGTGGCTGTGTGTGTGTGCGCGCATGCCGGAGCTTCCAGCTTTTCGCCCTGGTCGCCTTAGGTTTTGGAAGCTCCGCATTGCGTCGCAGCTGTTTCCGTTCCTGGCAGAATGCCGTTGAGCGGATCAGCTGGCATGGCGGCTTAACGCGGCTGTTGAATCAAGTTTATCTCGTGGAAACGGAGATTCGTCGAGGTGATGCCGCTGCAAGCCCACGCCAGGAAAAGCATGGCATGGGGCAGTGGCTTCCAACATCTTGCAAGTCTCTGCAGCAAAAAGTTTCATTTCACGGTCGGCTGCCGCGAAGGAACCATGGCCAGGCACTTTGAAGGCCTTGTCAGGCCGCACGCCCCGATTATGGACTCAAGATAGAGAACGTTTCACCCGCGAAACACTACACGGCGTGCTTGGTCAAAAGTGCTGTATGCAGCGCCGAGCTTGCATCCATTCTCTGTGCGGTATGTCATCCACTGGCTTGCCTTAGTCGTGGTGGCACTGTCGTGGCAATGGCTCATGTTCTTACCTCCCGGGGCATGACGATTCGAGATCCTTCCATGCCATGGCCTTGGCCTGGCGACAGAGAATGGCCAGTGGTGGGTGACTCGTGCCCTTGCACCGGTGAGAATGACCTTTGGGCCGAGTGAACAGGCAGCTCTGGAAGGCGAGCGATCGCCTTTTCGCATCTTTTCGCCTTTCGCTATAACACTATAAGTCTATAAGCTTTAGCCCAAAAAGCCCCTCCGACAAATTGCGGCTCCAGAGCGAGACCCAGGAGGTTATCTTGATGTCTGCTTTTGTGACCCCTCGTCGCTGTGAGTCTTCGGAAAAATTGCAGGCATTGAATCAGGCCAGCTTGTAGCTCGAGCCTACCACAGATATCATAACTCAGCCTTCCTGTCATGCTCCATGCAGTCAGTTGTTGCTGTTGCCAAGAGCGACGGGTGCCGCCGAAGGCATGTTGGATCGACTGCGACACGCAATTCACTCGAGATTTGGCTGCACATGAACAGTGTTTTTTGGGCATGGCATGCAGGTCCAGCAGCTCTGTAGCGTGCCTGTTATCGGAGTGTGCTGCCTTCTTCCGAATCGAATTTGGTTGTTGTTGTGGCATGGCCGCTGCAAGAAAGGCGGCTGCGCCCCGGGCAAATCCATGCAGTCCCGAAGAAAAAACTGTCGAAGGCTTGCTTTCGGCCTCCAGACAACGTTCAACGCCCGAACAACCAACCGGATAGAGACCCCGTTCGTCGTCAATTTTTCACTGTTCCGCCTGCTGTTTGCCGGTCAGGTTTTTTTCCTGCCTTCCTCTTGGAGCAGGCGGAAACAGTGAGGCTTATCGCCAAAGGCGAACCCCGACCTACAACATTCGTTTGCCCGATGGTAGGGTCGCCTTCCACCAGAGCTCCGGTGCCTGCACCCTGGTAAAATAAAGCAGCCAGGGATTTCACCTATCAGTTTTTCTTTCCTGGCTTCTGTGTGTCTCTCGTTACTTGTAGCAGTGCTGCGGTCCCCTTCCCTGTCGCGCGGCCTTGCCCTTGGAGCAGGCAGCAAAAAGACCCAGCCTGCTTTCCGGGCCCTGCCCTCGGCATTCCCCCATCCAAACCG